AGGACTTCTCTCTCAACCCTCATGATCATATATGGCACTTCTCTCACTTATCATGTGTTTTATAGTGCCCTTCTCGCACGCATTAGGACAAATAATGAGTTTTGTTTCAGTCTTAATACGACAATTCTCTCACTCATTATATGTTTTATATTGCCCTTCTTTCACCCATAAGAAAAAATAATAATTTCTCTTTCAACCTTTAAGATTATACTAGTATATGACACTTCTTTCACTCATTGTGTGTTTTATAGTGCCTTTCTCTCAAGACAAATTATGACTTCACTCTCAACCCTTATGACACTTCTTTCACTCATAATGTGTTTAATTGTGCCCTTCCCTCACCCATTAGGACAAATAATAAGTTCTCTCTCAACCCTATTGATAATATGACACTTCTCCCACTCATTATGTATTTTATTGTGACTTCCCTAACCCTACGGACAAATATTGACGTCTTTCTCAGCCCGAATATGATACTTCTCTCACTCAATATATTATTTGCAGTGCCCTTCCTTCAACCATTAGGACAAATAATGAGTTTTGTCCCAACCCTAATGATAATATATGACACTTCTCTCACTCATTATGTGTTTTTATAGTGCCCTTCCCTCACCCGTTACGACAAATAATGTCAACTTTTTGGATTATAACTGAAACTTCCCTCACCCGTGTACGAGTTTTACAGTGCCGTTCTCTCACCCGTTACGACAGATAATGACTTAGCTCTCAATTTTTGTGATAATATATGACACTTCTCTCACTCATTATGTGTTTTATAGTGCTCTTTTCTCACCCGTTACGACAAATAATGTCAACTTTTTGGATTATAACTGAAACTTCCCTCACCCGTGTACGAGTTTTACAGTGCCCTTCTCTCACCCGTTACGACAGATAATGTCAAATTTTTGGATTATAAGTGAAACTTCCCTCACCCGTGTACGAGTTTTACAGTGCCGTTCTCTCACCCGTTACGACAGATAATGACTTCGCTCTCAATCTTTATGATAATATATGACACTTCCCTCACTCATTATGTGTTTAATAGTGCCCTTCTCTCACCCGTTACGACAAATAATGTCAAACTTTTTGGATTATAACTGAAACTTCCCTCACCCGTGTACGAGGTTTACAGTGCCGTTCTCTCACCCGTTACGGCAGATAATGACTTCGCTCTCCATTTTTGTGATAATATATGACACTTCTCTCACTCATTATGTGTTTTATAGTGCCCTTCCCTCACCCGTTACGACAAATAATGTCAACTTTTTGGATTATAAATGAAACTTCCCTCACCCGTGTACGAGTTTTACAGTGCCCTTCTCTCACCCGTTACGACAAATAATGACTTAGCTCTCAATCTTTGTGATAATATATGACACTTCTCTCACTCATGATATGTTTTATAGTGCCATTCCCTCACCCATTACGACAAATAATGTCAACTGTTTGGATTATAAACGAAACTTCCCTCACCCGTGTACGAGTTTTACAGTGCCCTTCTCTCACCCGTTACGACAGATAATGATTTCGCTCTCAATCTTTGCGATAATAAATGACACTTCTCTCACTCAAAATGTGCTTTATAGTGCCCTTCCCTCACCCGTTACGACAAATAATGTCAACTTTTTGGATTATAAATGAAACTTCCCTCACCCGTGTACGAGTTTTACAGTGCCGTTCTCTCACCCGTTACGACAAATAATGACTTCTCTGTCAACTTTTTGGATTATATATGAAACTTCCCTCACCCGTGTACGAGTTTTACAGTGCCCTTCTCTCACCCGTTACGACAAAAAATAACTTCTCTTTCAGCCCTAATATGACACTTCTCTCACTCATTATGTGTTTTATTGTGGCCTTCTCTCACCCGTTAGGACAAACAATAAGTTCTTTGTCAACTTTTTGGATTATAAACGAAACTTCCCTCACCCGTGTACGAGTTTTACAGTGCCCTTCTCTCACCCGTTACGACAGATAATGACTTCGCTCTCAATCTTTGTGATAATATATGACACTTCTCTCACTCATTATGTGTTTTATAGTGCCCTTCCCTCACCCGTTACGACAAATAATGACTTCTCTGTCAACTTTTTAACTTCCCTCACCCGTGTACGAGTTTTACAGTGCCCTTCTCTCACCCGTTACGACAGATAATGACTTCGCTCTCAATCTTTGTGATAATATATGACACTTTTCTCACTCAAAATGTGTTTAATATTGCCCTACTCTCGCCCATTAGGAAAAATAACGACTTCTCTCTCAACCATTATAATAATATATAATGATTTTCTCGCTCATTGTGTGTTTTATAGTGCTCTACTCCCACCCATTAGGTAAATAATGACATCTCCTTTAAGTCTTAAGATAATATATAAGTGTTCTCTCAGTCAATTTGTGTTTAACAGAGCTCTTCTCTCACTTATTAGGAAAATGCAAAGTCAGGAAAATAATATGACATCTCTCTCAACTCTTATGATTAAATATATTAGTTCTGTCAGTCATTTTTTGTAATATGGTGCTCTTCTCTAATGCATTAGGAACATAATTACATGTCTCTCAACCCTTAAGATAATATAAATGTATAGTAGTTCTCTCAGTCATTATGTGTAATATGGTGTTTTTCTCTCACCAAATAAGACAAAATAATGACTTCTCAAGTTCTCACTCATCCCATAGGATAACATATGATATATTTCTTTTATTTAGTATGAACATCACTAAACAATTGTAGGCAAATGCGCCAATTACTGTTTGGTTCGGTGGCGACTGTTATAGTCTGCACTGTATTGGGTGGTACTGTAACGTACGCTTATCAGGGTAAATTCACGGATACGGCTATGTTTGTATCTCGTGCAATTTTGTGTTTTTTTTTTGTTTGTTCAGTCGTTTCGTACATTGAATGAAAGGGATTTGAGAGAAAGTTTTACTTTTTTTGACATGTTATTTTTCTACCATATGACATATCTAAACTCTTGGTCAACACATCTTAGCTTTAACATTGTGGAATGGTCAAATACGTCACATCTATCTTTTTAATAAGTAATAGAAAGAGCACCGAAACACGAGGTTATCTGATTTGTACGAGGGGGCGTAGCCCCCCGAGTATTAATCAGATTACCGAGCGTTTTGGTGTTCTTTCTCTTTTGTATCATAGTCAAACATAAAAACACGTTCCCTGTTGTTACAATATGAAACCCCGGCAAAAATGAACCCATGAACGAGCATCTAAATATGACATTTCTGTCGATTTCACTTTCACTGCCGTCACAATATGTAAACCCCAGCAAAAATGAGCCAATCAATGGGCATGCTCTGGAGTGCGGGTAACTAATACGCGCACTCCAGTTAACGCACGGTGCATGTATATGTAAACGATATAACTCTGACACATTTTCAACAGAAAGGTCTCCAAACTATGATACAATTATTATTTGTTGCAATATAATCATCACATGTGTATTATGATATCTAGCAAAAATCTGTAATGATAAACATGAAGTACACATGGTATTTTTCAGCAATTCAGAAATTTATTGTGTTAAAGATATTTTTATTATTATTATTTTCATCTTTGAGAATAAAAATTATTTCAGAAATTTCTTGAATTACACAAAAATTCTGACTTAATAATGTCTAATTTTAAAAACGATATGCAAAAAACTGAGAATGTGAAGCTTCATTCAATGGTCAAGTAAATTAAGTAATTTCTTTAAAAGAAAAAAAGACGTATTCATACTGTAATTATAGTTATTTATTAACATCAATAGTCTTTGTCAATGTGTCTCAAAAGATATTGTGGGTTAGTTATTTGTTGAGGTTTTTTACAAATTATATTTCTTTTATGTGTTGTCATTTAAAATGCGTTTGTTGAATGCATATAGTAACTAGTCCTTTTTTAATTGTGCTATTAAATCAGAATTAGCTTATGTTATCTTATAATTGTTTTGTTTATGTACATTTACATTTAATGTACTGATATTTTATGTAATTGTATGCCTGAGAAGGCCCATGATTGGTAATAAAACATTATTCTATTCTATTCTATTCTACTGTGCTCACCTGGCGTTCAAAAGGTGATACAACTACTTATATGTGTTTACACAAATCATGTTTATTTTACCTTTGATAACAGACTATGTAGTGATAATAATCAATATATTTCAAAGATGACCATAATTTACATCTTTGAAAAGTAATCAAATCTAAAATGTTTTATTTTCTGATTGAATACATGTCTGCATTATTTCTGGCCTTATGGAAGTTTCTCTATTTTTTAAAGAATTATTTCTAAAAGAAATGTCATACTTTTCTTTCATAAAACCTGAAGAAAAGAAAGAATCTAGAATAAAATGCATTGAAGATGTTTTAGCTCATTTAGAAAAGAATATCTATAAGCATTGCCACGGATTTACATTACATAAATCCGTGGCATTGCCTAGGAACACGGACTGACAGTCAGTCTGTAATTAAAATACTAGTTCTGTGGTTTGACCAAACAATATAATTTCCCGATAACTATTGTGACATTTTTTAAAGTCATTATAATCAGTATTGAAGTGATTATAGTTGGTCTGGCTCCCTTCCCTCCGTCAGCGAACGCGAAGACTAAATGCTAGCATACAGAGCATCATAATAAATTTGGCGACAAAAGAAGGCAGAGCCGTACTGCAACAGAGGCGGAGCAAATGAAGTGATTGACACTCTCTCAACCGTTATCTCTCTCAACCGTTAACTTTTAGAACGATCGATTCGGGACGTACCTAGTAAAAGGTCAACCGTGACGTCACTTACGCGTAGTGATTAAATAAAACATTCGCTCAATGTTTTTCTATACAAAACATGAAAACGAAATAAACAAATGTCTGTTAAAACATTATTTAAAATATTTCTAATATGAACATCACAATGCCGGACTCTTGATAATACTATATCTAATTTTAACGCTTGAAATAAAAACTACTTTTTTAGAGAGGATGAATCAAGTACCTGCTCTGTGTTATTCGGTCAACTAATTACCAATTTTCGTACAAGAAGCAATGGTGTCCTACAAAATGAATATGTTACTCAGGATTTTTTCGGGATTTCTGTTATGATTGGACAACGGAGGTGGGGGTAAAGTAAACTACAAGTTTATAGTGTTTTCGAATAATTGACTCGCGTGTGTTAATTTGTCAGAATGGGTGAAAGAACGGAACGTACCGGCACACAAGTTGTGCATGTCCGTGAGAACAGTGATCACGAGATGGAGGCTATGTTTAAAGCAGCTCTTAATCCTAAACCAGGAGTAGCAGGCATTCCATTAAGACAGAGAAACTTACCTCCATCATTTTTCACCCCTCCCGATCCAAATAAACAAATAAATCATAGTCGGGAAGGTAGTACAGACTCAACTGGGTACTCGAACCCAGGTCATAGTGTTCTTACCAGTGCAGGTCCAACCGTGATTCATGGTCGCACGCAGTCTTCGCCTGCAATGTTACAACAAACTCAGTTTAGCACATTACCCCCACCGCAACACACAAGACAACGCTCATGTGATTTAATTCTTGAAGAGCAACCGTTACCTCCAGGATGGGAAATGGCCAAAACTCCACAAGGGCAAATATACTTTTTAAAGTTTGTATCGCTTTATTTAATCAGATTTACTAACAATGCATTTATTTTCTTGTTTTGTAGATTTTCTCGCAGCATGATTGTTGTTTTGTATTTTGTTTTTCAAAAGTGCTTGTATATTCCAACTTTGAATGTAAATTCATGTAAGATATATTATAATATTTGTTCCTTGTGATATCTATATTGTACATATAATATTAGATCTTAGAAAAGTGCACATGGACTACTATACTAGGAAATAACCAATCACATGGTGAAGAAAATCTGCGGCCTGACTAGGACTTAAACCTTAGTCAAAATATATTGATGTGCCAAAGCTTGATTCTGAGATATTTTCGTTCTGGGGCAGAATCTCTCTTTGTAGTGGTGAGATATTGCCCAGGCACGAAAATAGCACAATATCTCGTCCCGCAGTACAATTAGTTGGACCTCAGACTCTAGGAATACCATTCCACAGTGACAGTTTCACTGAGTGACCTACTTCCTTATAAGCAACCAGTTCTTTCCTGGGATAAACTTCCAAGCTTTTTCAAATTTTTAGTAGGGTACAGAAAACATAGTGAATTGATCTCTGAAGAAACTGACGCAAACCCTTTGGGCGCCAAATCAATGTCAAAGGTGAAATAAAAGTTGAGTCCTCACTGCCCAGGACTTAATATCTGGACACTTTGAAACTTAATATCTGGACACTTTGAAATTCTGTTCTGCAATACCTGGCTGCTTACACAGGTTTTTTAGTGTGTATATTTTTATGTAAACATTGAAATGTCTTTTTCTAAAAAAGATTTACTTTGGAATGGTAGAATTCGGACATAGGTGGCAAAGATAAATATTTATGCCTTGTTCTATAACATAAGTATTGATGATTAGTTTTCTGAGACAAAATCATTTGTTAGACTTAAGCCATTTTCATTAGTTGAAGTATCAGGAAATAATTGAGCTGGTCTTAGAAATTGATATACCTAGGGGCTAGACACCACTTAAAAAATAAGCAGATTTGTCAAGATTTGCCTCCAGGGTGACATGTTCTAATTGTATCCAGTGACAGCAGTTTTAGTTGTCAATGATGAATAAAAAGATTTCAAATGATAAAAAAAGGATTAAAAAATATTAATGTTAATGATCAGGAAAGAATGCTTGTAATAATTCTTTTCTAATGATAGATGACAGTAAGGAGGAAAACTTTCAAATTATGATCTTTGGCATGGAATATAATAAATAATGATGGGTATGTAACTGAGCTTGAAGGACATTTTTTTCTAATTTAAAGAAAAGAAATAAGCCTATCTTCAGATTAAAAGAAATTCTTTGAACTTTTGAGAAAAATATAAAATGTGGAGACTTGTTTCAGAAATAAATTTCTACCTTTAGAAGTTCAGTGTGGTTTTCAGTTCTAGATGAATGGTGTCAGGGCCTATGGAGAAGTGAAAATTGCATTGCTGAAATTAACTTAAATATAATTAAGCGGCTTGAAAGACTGGCCCTGATTTGCATTTTCATTTGGTACAAAGGGTGTTCTGCTTGTGGATGGAATGGCATCATAATCTATATTATAGTATTGTTTTAGACTTGAAGTTTATTTTAAATTATAATTTATGTGTTTAGAAAGTTGATTTTTGACTATTTTTGTTTTATTTCCAATAAATTTAAAATTTCTTTTTGGGACATTGAATCACACCAAATGTTGGCTTTCTGCCATGCATCTTAAGCAGTATATTGCACCAGTGGCAGTGTGGATTGAGGAATCCAAAATAAGCCCTGCCATGTGACCTGATCCAAATAAACTGGCTCAAACGTGCCTTCTGGTCATGGTCTTCACTGCTTTTCAATCAATTCATATTCTAAAACGCTGAAAGATTTTGTCAGAACTTTTGTCTGACTCCATTTAAAATACCTACAGTAGCATATCCACCTAAACATTAACTGCTTTTTTATACTCCCCCATTCACAAAATCATAACACCGGTAGAAAAAAACTGTAGTAAATTTATGAAACAAAAAGATGTTAAATGACTCATAGTTTGATACCGTTAGGGTAGCCTTTCAACAGCAGCTTGTTAGTTTATGTTAAACAGATGTGCAATACAGTTTGTATTTGATGTTTTGGTATATAGCCGGTATGACCTATCTATGTATTACCAGCACCTGTGGGGCTTACTGCTATACCATGTGTACCATATGGTAATGGAACTGTCTGCAGATAGGTACTGCTTGAAAATAACATCTGTTCAGGACATGTACATCATTACTGTATTATATATAATATATGATATTGCTTTTAACTTCTGAAAATTTATTAACAATTATTTTGTTTTATCAAACGGTATGGACGATAAATTGTTCATTTTGAAATTATCTTTAAGTAACAAAAATAATGGTACATGTATGTTGAAACAATTTTATTAGTTCAATTTTTTTTTAGACTAATATCAGTATACTTGTGCGTGTTATAGGTCCCCCCAGTTATTCAACATATAGGCAATTACCATGTGTAATAGTATCCAAACACCACAGTAGTATTTTGTTTTGCATGCTAAAATAATTACATGCATTGAGTTAAAAAAAAAGAAAACAAGATAAAAAAAACATAAAAAAGGCAAATAATCTTTTAATATGTAAAGAAAGAACGTCCAAAAGGGTAAAAAAATAGCCATTCCATAGATGGTACTCATACTGGAAAGTGCAAGACTGCAGTTCCTGCTGCTTATTATTTTATATGTAACTTGCATTTATTTTATCTTTATGTAGCAATATTCTAGCAGTGATCACATATCAAACAATTATTTCCAACTATGTAAGCACCTTTATTTATTTATTGTACGTTATTTCAGTTTTTTGTTGACTTGAGAATAAGAATCATTTAGTGAAATCATCCTGTCTGGATTTTAGAACTCGCTACATAATCATGTTGTTTATATTACTCATAGGTGACTGTCACTTAAAAAAAGGACGCTGCAGGATGTATCAGTTATTAACCAATTTAACAAAAATATGTAGTATTCCTCTACTATCTCGATACACTCACCTTAATGTAATTTGATTTCATGTTAAATAGGAAAAAAATATTTCAAAGACTCATCATAGTTTAGTCCTGAGTATGATTCACTGATTAATGAAAAAAAAAATCATTCTGTATTCATTGAATGTTCTAGCTTCTGTTGCTCATGTAAATATGAAAGTTAAAAAAAAACCAACCATTTTTAACCAACTTGAATTTATTGTTTTATCTTTGTAACTTAGAATTTAGTTTTGAAATGTCTTGATGGAATATTACAATATTTTTACAATTTCTGTCTGTTACGAACATCCTGTCTTTTGTTGATTTGGTTTTAACCTCTGAACATTCTCGTATCTGTGTTTGTGGTAGTCATTTAAATTGAATTGATCTTAGATTTGAACATATTTGGAATTTTTAAGACGGCCTGTGAAGTGACCTTGTGCACTGTTTATACAATGAACTGTATAACAGTTTACATTCTTGTGGTTAGTTCACGACATAAATTAAAAATCAAATTATTCATTTGCATTGATCTAAAGGAAGTTGACAGCCTAAGTTAAACATATTTTTAAAGGTTTACCAATTATATACATGTATATAGGTTGCAGTCAATACTGTTTATGTGTTCATACTTTAAAAGGGCAAACTTAAGTTATAGAAAATAGAAATTCAAACTTTTTTTTTAAAGGTTTACTAAATATATAAACAGGCTGTAGTCAATACTGTTAATGTTCATATTTTAAAAGTGCAAACTAAGTTAAAGAAAATATCAACTGATTTACATTTTGTATTCCAAGTTAGAACACACGTTCCCATACCTTTGTGTGTATCAATCCCACCAGAGACTGATATTTCCCATCTGAGGGAGCTGGCCAGCTACATAGGTTATAAATAGACAGTTTTCCCCCTCAAAGTTTGTTCCCTTGGTGGGGGGTTCCGAGGATCAAACATGGATTCTTACAGTTAATTCATGTTATCAAATCTGATTGACTCCTTATTGAGTGAAGTGGGGAAAAAGTAGAAAGAGGCTATATGACCTTATTTACAGTGTTTTTGTTAATTAAACCCAATAAATAACAAGTAACAAAATTTTCAATATACTGTTAGATACAATTAAAATTTTAAACTATTCTTTATAACTTCCTATGCTTGCTTTTCATTTTCTTCATGCTTTTTTCAAGCTTCACTTCACCTTTGAAGAACTAGTAGAGTCATACTCATTACCCACTTATTGGTTAATCTTTTGTTAAGTATATAAGTATATGTTTATGGTCATTTATTTTACTAACAAAGCTACATGTATAACATTAAAACATGATATCTGGATGCACCTTGAAAAGTTTTATTGGCAACACTCATTTTCAGGTCAAAGGTGAAGGTCACCTGGACATGTAATTAAATGACATAGAACGGGCCATTTAATCAAATTGCATTGATGTTGGAACTTCAGACGGCGACGTTGCAATGTAGATGCACTTTTACTTTACTTATAATGAGGCTAATGTCAAGGTCATGACCTTTGTTAACTTTGTGTTTATATTGTCAATAACTTAAAATTACGTCAATAACTTAAAATTACGTGAATAACTTAAAATTACGACATGGAAACTGACTGCATCTTGATGAGTTCTACATGGGCCTGCCATGCCCACTTTTAGGTCAAAAGGTCAAGGTCAATCATTGACAATGTCACCTTTAATTAGAAAAAGTTCTGTTTTTTTTCCAGCCAGGAGAAAATTAGAATGTGCTGCTGTTTACTGCAAGCCATTACGTGAATAACAAATAAGTACATGGTTGGTAATTACTTAGTTATGACGTATGAAAACAGAAGATGTTTTTAATGATATACTTGCTATTCTGAGATATAAATGCGGTCAGATTGATTTGGAACAATGATGTGTATTAATTAAAGTCATACATCTGCTAGCAGCTGTCGTATAATTTCAAATAACAAATGCACCATTATGTTCCTAATTGAAACACCTTTGTAAATGAAACACGTTTTC